AACTTGTCATTGAAAAAAAAGCTTGACTTTGCAATTTTGAAAAATAAGAAATGTAACAACAAGGGAAAATTGAATGTTTCGAGTAATTCATCAAAAATTATATGTATTGAAATAGGAATTTTTGAAGAAGGAGGAAATCGTTGTATATATTTGCAAAATTCCTACCATTACTTGAAAACTGTGAAGCCAACAAAATTAGATGATCTTTTGTAGATGATGTTCTGAACGCCCTATGTTTTTTACTGGCTCATTTTACAAAGCAGAAAAAAGCGAAAAATGAAAAAGTCAGTAGTTTTGATATAAAATAAATAAGCTGATTGAATCAATAAAATTTTTACTATTAACTTGAGATTTTATTTAGATTATGATAAATTTAAAAATAAAGTTGAATGCCGGTATTATACCGGTATTACCGGTATTGTAATTATTTAGTACCGATATACCGGTATTGAAAAATGGTATCAGTATTGGAAGCACTAGTTCACAGTTATCTGCACTTAAACAAGTTTCCTACATACATCACTAATTGAGCAGCAAATAACTTATTCTTTTCTTTTTATAACTTTATATTCATATATTTATGCAAATTATTATATTATTAATTACATTTGTAGTGTAATATGCTTATATGTGTTAAACAAATTGTTATTAATGTTGTTTGTTTAAGTTACATTGTGAAATTTTTAATTTTTTTTTTATAAACGTTGTTTTCTACGTGTATTGTAATACAGTTATTGTAATACAGTTATATCTACGTGTAATAAAGTTAGTTCCTGCTATCAATAACACTTTAACAAATAACACTTGTCAACAATGAATTTGTACCAGCTTTAATTTTAGGCTCACTAGATGAAGTTTTTCACGCTGACTCCAAATCTGTGTTTAGTTTTTCTCCAGCACGTCTGAATTTTGAGATAATGTGTTTTTTGCACTAATATATGTTTCTGTGTGAAATATACTAATGTTTTTTATATTTTCAGGGTAGTTATTTCAATAAAATTAACTTATAAAATGCCTAAAAATTGCAAAAAATCACGAGACGTCTTTTGCTACATTTGTGGGCAATTTATATTGTCAGGGCAGCGAAAGAAAATCACTCCAGAAATCTCGAAAATTTACAAGCTGTATTTCGGTTGTCCTTTGCGAGATCAAGATAAAACTTTGGCACCACATGTGGCTTGTTATAGTTGTAGCAGCTTACTACGAGATTGAATCAACAAACAAAGGTCTTGTTTTCCATTTGCTATACCGATGATTTGGAGGGAACCAAAAGATCATTATAATGACTGCTATTTTTGCGCTGTTAATACTGCTGGATTTTTGTCGAAAATTAAGCACCAAATTGTGTACCCGAATTCGGATTCGGCCATGAGGCTTGTTACTCATGACAGCACCCTGCTCATTCCAGTACCACCAGCTGATGGATTAGACTCTGTTGAAGTCGGATGTGTGGTTGGTTTTGAACGTCAAGATGCGGTTGATGTTGACTTTGATCCAGGTATTGACGGCAAAAAGCCCAAGATTTTCACACAAGGTGAACTGAATGATTTGGTTAGAGACTTGTCTTTTTCCAAGGAAAAAGTTGAACTTTTGGCGTAAAGACTGAAAGAAAAGAATTTGTTAGCAGTTAGTGTCAAAGTATCCCACTTTCGAAAGTGCATCAACGATTTATCTAGGTTTTTCACCATTGATGGACCCTTGTGCTGCTGCAATTATGTCAATGGTCTTTTTGAAAATTTATCCCAAACGCATTCGCCTCGTGATTGGCGCCTCTTCATTGATTCATCTAAGAGAGTTTGAAGGCTGTGTTGTTGCATATTGGTAATCAGAAGCCATATATTCCAATTGCTCATTCCGTACACTTGAATGGAACTCAAATATGAAAATATTACTAGACGCTATTGATTACAAAACTCATCAGTGGAATATTTGTGGTGATTTGAAAGTGATTGGTATGTTAATGGGTATGCAAACAGGTTTTACCAAGTTCAGCTTCTTTCTTTGTTTATGCTGTGAGCGAACATTACGTAAAACGTGATTGGATGTTGAGAACTGAATACGAACCCGGTGTAAGCAGCGTTCACCATATTCCGCTGGTTGATCGAGACAAAATATTTTTGCCACCGCTTCAAATCAAGCTTGGTTTGATGAAAAACTTTGTCAAAGCATTAGGTAAAACTGAATCAGCGGGTTTCAATACTTGGTTGAAAATTTTCCCAAAATTAGTGCAGCTTTTTTGTCGGACCCTAAATTCGGGATGTTTTGAAAGACGAAGGATTTGAAGAGTCACTTACTTCTGACGAAAAAGAAACGTGGAAAGCGTTTGTATGGGTTTGTAAGAACTTCTAGGGGAATCACAAATCGTGTGAATATAAAAATTGTATTCAGAAGCTACTCGGTTCGTTCCAAAAAGTGGGCTGTAGTATGTCATTGAAAATGCATTTTCTGCATTTGGCATTTTTTCCTGAAAATTTGGGCGCTGTGAGTGATGAACAAGGTGAACAATTCCACCAAGATATTCAAGTGATGGAAAAGCGTTACCAAATATTCTGGAATGAAAGAATGTTAGCTGACTACTGTTGGATGCTTTATCGTGATGAACCAGAAAAAGTCTACAAAAGGAAGTCATATTCACAGAGATTTTAAGTGATTTATATGCTTTAGTCAACAGTCTTTAATCTATTAAATGTGTAAAAATGTTTACGAATAAACCTAGTCACAGAGACTTATTTGTATAGAAACATAAGTGGTGGTTGAAATATTGAATGTTTATCAATGTTTATGTATAGGGATAAAGTACAGAATGTTCGAAAATTAAAATTCCACAAATATTAAGAACTAGACGTATTCAAAGAAAACTGGAAATCAGCGCAAAAAACTGGTTTAGAAAAAGCTATTTAGATTCATGGTGCATTCAAAAAGTATTTTTTTGTTGACCAGTGTAATCTTATAAATAATAATTTTGAAAAAAGTTTTTTTATTGTCTTTATTAATTTTAATATAATTTTATACCATTTATAATTTAGCAAGATTTTAAAAAATCGTAAACCTTAAGAAGCAAGTTTGGTATGAGTCGTCACAAAATCACCAAGCCCCCTTCCCCTAAATGCGTGACGTAATTTATGGACGACTCCTAACCAAATCTACCAAATTGGGGTACATGGTTTAATGATGTTGTTGATTAGTATTTTGAAGTGGTCTAAAATTGCTAAACATTTCTATTAATGGCACCTGTTAATGCTGCTAAACCCGGTAGAAAATAAGGTAGCGAGTATATTTATAAATAGCCAGTAAATATAGCGAATAGCTTTATAGCAACTTTTTTTTTCTCACACTATTGTTTCTCACTAACCAAACGATGATCACCCTAAACTGATGTCCCTTGAAAACCCTTTTGGGGGATAATAGCTCATATATAGTAGAACATTTAAATATAAATTTGGTTATTTGTCTTTTTCTGGAAAGCAAAAGTTCCGTTTTTACAACATTTATGCCGTTTAAATTGTTCTACATTTCACAAGTTGTAGTAAGTACTTTTAGGCCCGAGATAGTAGAACAGAGAAGAATGATGTCATCAGCATAAGCTACAACACCAGTCAAGTTTCCATATATAGTAGTACCAACAATGACATCATTTTTTATAGTTTTGAGTCAGCGCATGTTATATATGAAGAGTAACAGAATCGATCCTTGTCTCACTCCTTGCTTAAGATCAAATGAGACTGATTTGGAATCTAGGTACGAGACAGTTGCACTGCCGCTACGGTATAGAGAATTTAGAGTGTTAACTATTTGAAGAGGTAGATTTTTATCAAAATAAAAGTGATATAAAAACCAGCAAAAGGTGATATAAAAAACTGAAAAGCCTTTAAAACCCATAAAATTTTATGTGATTACTTGGGAATGAGCGAGGAACTCATGCGATTTTGAACTATTTTAATGATCAATGGTGGCAGCCTTGCTATTTCTCTTCAGGAATTCAGTGAATATTGTAAAAAAGTATACTTAATTTCTTAAAAACATATGGAAGCTGATAAATAATAAAAAAGAGAAAGATCTTTTAATTAGAAGAAACACAAATAATTTTGAAAACTTTTATTTAAAAAAAGGCTTATTATTTTTCCTTAAAAACTACTTATTAAAGGAACTTAGGGAGTGAGGGGAGTTGTACACAATTTAAATTAAAGATTAAATTTTGATACATTATTTCTAATTTTAGACAATATTTTAATGTTATTCTACCCCTCACTCCTTGGGAAAACTCTGAGTTATAAAGTTAAATTTCTATGAAACTACTACTGAAATTTTGAGCATGATTACTTAATGTAAGTATTATTAGAAAATAAATTTGTACAGGAAAGTTGAAAATAATTTTAGCCCTCTTAGTATGAAAACGTCCAACTGTGCTATAGTTGCACTTTACTTAACTGAAAATGCGGTGACCTCAGCTTTTCTAGAAAATAAAATTCCGTGTTTAAGTAATAAGCTTTTTAGTGCCATTTTTAGAAGGCTTCATAAAGTACGAACGCGAGGGTTGCCCAAAAGCGTACGAAAAACGAGAGGGAGATGGTGTGTGTGTTAGAGACAGCGAATACGTACGCAGTTTGACTATCCCTCCTAAAGTTTGATTTCTTTTTTATTAACCAAAACATAGAACTTTGCAAAAGAATATAACGTTATGTAATAGAGAAATGTCGAATTATCATAAGGTTTTTTTGTTTTCAATTTTTCAAAAAATTAAAGCGTTTGAGAAGCGGTGATTTTGTAATAACTAACGCGTACGTACGCATAGAGAAGTAATTGGGTCATTTAAAGCATACAGGTGCGTAGAAGGGGGAAAGGAAAGTCCTAAATTAGTGGTTTTACTGCGCACGCACTTTATGGGTGCCCCTTATTAAAAGTTCTTTAACAGGGTATTAATATAATTTTTCTATCAGTTCTATTGTCGACTTCTATCCATCTATTCTATCTATTGTCATATGTAAGATAAAGATACAAAATAAATATAAATCGCGATAAATCTAAATATACAAAATACAAAAATTAATCTGAAAGTTCAAATAATACTTGCGCAAGTAGAGCAAGCACACTCGTGTCGATCATTTGAGATGTGGATAAAGCCAATATATCGTCAGTAAACGGTAGCAATCGATGCTTATTGTATGGCAATTTTGAAAGAGAGAGAAGGATATTGACAGAGCGACGCAATAAACTAATACTCGTTCCACATATATCTTCAGCATTAAGTCCAGGTTGAACTCTTCCGCCTGACGATAAGTAATTCGAAGTGTTCCGTTCAGCATCGCATATAAATTTAACAATGCTACTTACACAAGACCGCCGCAATGCTAAAACTTTACAAAAATCTTCACATCGGGCTAAATTGTCTAATAGTATTAAAGAAAATTCACGAACGGGAACTAAATGTTTTTTTGAAAATTGCTCAATAAGAGCACCAGCCATGTTTTCCAACACTAGCTGATTAGAGCAACGAGCAATAAGTTCAATGTTATTTAAATTAATTGTAATTTTAGCTAGAGTTTCTATTGATAAACATTGCGGTGAGAGAGCATGTGGCCCCGGTGCTGTGGGCAATGGATCTAAAGCTTCAGATGATTTACAAACTAACCAATGGACAAGACCGGTTATGATTGGTTTATGAATTTCTTCAGGATAAATCGAGAGATTTAAATGCCCCGAAATATTAGACAATAGAACCATCGTGTTTTCTCTCATGTTTGCCAAAGACTCTAACCAAACTTCATTTTCGCTTGTTGAAATAGAACTATTATCCAAGTCTCGCTTATCAAGTCCCATTTTGAACTTTGAATGATCAGTTATGGTATGCTCATGTTGATAAGTTAGAAGATGTCCAGCAATAATTAATAATCCAACATTGTTTGCTAATTCACTATCATTTCCTTGGATGAAAGACAGGCTACGAAAAATATTTGACATAGCAACACACCTGTGAAGAAGAGACAGTTCACTTTCTTGCAGTTCAAGAAAAGGCGAAAATTGCTTTAAAACACAATGCTCATTTTCTACATTACCGCGATTCTCTCTTTGAAAGCGTCTATTAAGATAACTTATAAACTCTCTCGAGTCTTCTAAATACTTTTTATCACAAGGTAAATCAAATTCTAAATCTTTGATGACTTTTTCTACTAAAAGATCAGGAGAACTCGTTTCCTTGCTTTCATATGCATTTATTAAGTCTTTCAGAATATCAAGACAAGCAGAGTTAACTTGCTCTGTACTAACATCCGATATTACGTTATTTTTGTCGCAATTAGTTTTGAGCGAATTTTTCTCATGATCAGGCGTTGTTTTTTCAATAGAAAAACGAGGAGAAGTGACACGTTCTAACCGTTTTCTTTTTTCGATATCAGCTTCACTTTCATATGGAAGACCTTGAGGGAAACGATTAGTTTTTAAGTTATTTGATGGAAAGTTCGTTTGAATATGCGACGTTAAAGTACTACTAAGTCGGCTCCCTGTTTCATTTGATGTTACGACATACTCATCAACTTCTGCCATGACAGCAGATGATGCTATGTTTGCCGTATAACTTTGTTCAGCATTTTTACAAACACCTACCCAGAGCGAATTGAGAATTTTTTCGGTATCAACTGCCTCATCATTTATTTCGGGAAAAAGAGGCACCTCGTCACTTTTAAAGTATTTAAACATTAATGATAGACAACGCCTGTAATGATCCATAAGTGTATCAAGAAGTCCTGGTAATTGGGTAAGATGGAAATAAGTTATTGTTTTATTGTCAGAAAGAAGTATGTTTAAGGTGTCTATTGCCCAACTGCATTCAGCAACTAAGCCAGATTTTAATGACATCATTATTCGCCAGGCTTCAATGGGACCTAAAATAATTTCAAAAAATAGTAGTTTACATATGGATGTTTACTAAAATTTTAATTGCAACTTTTTTAAATAGCAGATTAAACAAATATAATATAAAAATGTTAAAAAATAAAACCTAAATCCTTGGACGTCATCTTTTTACGCTTCCTCAAAAGTGGTTTGGCTCCCTCAACACTATCTGGAGGAAAGCCAAAATCACGTTTATTCGATGGATTATTAGTAGACTTTACATCAGAAATGTTATTTTGTTGAACTATTTTATTTGTATTCTTAGTTGGCATAGAAAACTTTGGTTGCATTGTTGGATGCTGATAGTGTGGCATTTTCATTTGTTGATGATATTTCATTTGTTCGAGTTGATCTTGACGACATAATGGAGCTTGAGAACGTGGTTTTCCAGGAGTAAAATTTGAGTTTGTAAAAGAATGAACAGGTTGTCTTTGAGTTTGTTGACTCCATGGCATACGTGGTAAACCTTCAGGAAAGAGTTCTGGAGGACCTTGATGCGGTGAAAAAACACGAGGCCAGGAATTTTGCATATTTTCAGGCGGAATTCCTGGTAACATAGAATTGTAACCTGGTAGAGGACCATGCGGAAACATTGGATTTGGATATCCAGAGTAAGGCATATTATTTGGATAAGCGTTATTTATTGTTATATCTTGTTGACCCGATCCATAATTTGGAATATTTTGAGTTCCATATGAAATAGGGTTTGGTTGATTTTGGTACGAAGGACACGGGCCATATTGAAGTGAGGATGATGAAATTATAGATGAATTAGATGTTTTAATTTCTGAGACTGGAGAAGTTGATGACCAACTTGATACAGGTAGAGTTGGGTTGTTATGAGTATTTGCGTTCATGGTAACTGAGGACTTCATGTCATTCATAGTTGAATGCAATGATTCATTTAAAGAGATTGTTGCTAATGGAGTTTCTTGAGATACGTTTCGATCAAACGGAGTGTCTTTCCATTGCTTGAGTAGTGCATTTTTAGCCTTTATCTCATATGCATGAAGATACTTCATATACTGCTCTTTTACAGAATATGCTAACAAACTATTATCAACAGGCAACTTTAGAGCCTTCAGAATTTCCTTAAACTGATGTTTCTCCAATACCTAAATAATGTTAACAAAATAATTGTAGATTACATCATTAATTTTGACACCAAAATCTTACTAGTTTTAAACAGCATTAATTAATCTAATAAAAGTAATAAATCTAAATATATTTGAATGTTGCTTCAAAAAAAAAAAAAAAAAAAAAAAGTGCATACAAAATATTTTAATTAAATGTTTTGATATATAGTTTGTGCATAAATATATAAAATACCGCATTAATTCCACCACGTTCACAAACTGATCGGAAAAGTATATAGAGATCCAAAGGTTGCTCATTAATTACTGGAACTTTTGTCACAGGTGTCCCTTTAAATAAGAAAAATTCCAAATTAAAATTTCATTACACAAAAATAAAAATACTATATAAAAATATTTGTTCGTACCATTTATACTCATGAATGCTAAATATCTATCTAAAAAATTTCTTTTTTCTTCATCAGTAATAACCTCGTAAATTTTTGAGAGCTGTAAAAAAAGTTAACAATCTAAGTCACTTATAAAAAAATTTATCATACTGACTAATAAAAACATTTTAATCTTATTTTAGATGTGTATAACGATATTTTAAATAATTATAAAGATATTTAGTTATATTTATAAATAATATAAAATAAAAATAATATTTCAACAATAACTCATACTTGGTCAAACCGTCTAGGAGAAGCTTGTGACTTTAACCTTTTAGATCTTTCCTAAAAATAAAACTCAGCTCACTAACTTAGCTTAATAAGAGTGTTAGTTCAGAGTAATAAGTTAAATACTTTGATTACAACAAAATAGTCATAAAACTTAACATAAAACGTTATACAATAAATATAATAATATTTAATATAATAATGTTTAATACCATTGAATTAACTGTAAATTTCTTTAAATATATATATATATATATATATATATATATATATATATATATATATACATATATATATATATATATATACATATATATATATATATATATATATATATATATATATATATATATATATATATATATATATATATATATATATATATATATATATACTATGGCTTACATTGTTATTCATTATGAAGTTTTTTTTAACCTTATTCCATATGGTCTTTTTGCAAATGAGGAAAAAAAATAATAATGAAAAAAACTTATTGATGCCCCAACCCAAACCTTTAGTTGATGTCACAGCTACTCTCTTGTATGTATTATTTGTTGAATTATTTGTCAGTCGATTCGATACCTATTTGTCAGTCAATGTAGCAGCACTGCTCTCATTTTCAAAATCTGAAAAAATAAAACATTCAGGATGTTTTTATTTTTATTGAAAAAATAAAACACATTCCAGTCTGTAAAGTTGTGTCTTTTGTGTTTTGTTTTTTTTTGAAAAATGATAATTACTCGGAGTCTACTTGATTTTGTCAATTATAAAGACAAACCGTCATTAAGAGCTATTTATATACAACCCTCGGAATTGGGCAAAATGAGGTTGGCAATAATTTGATGACCTCAATCTTTTAGAGGTCGGCATCAGGTCGGCAAAAAAAATTTGACATTAAGGTCTTACCATAAAACATAGAAACGAGGTTGGCAAAAATTTTTTTACCGACCTCAAGTATAATCTTAAATTTTTCCCATAAAATGTCAACTTTGTTTTTTTTTCAAAAAAGTTTATTTAAATGACTGAAAAAAGTTTAAAAACTTAAAAAAAAATTTTTTTAATTATTTGATAGACTTCCTGCCCACTCTGTTTTTATTATTTAAAAAAAAAAAAAAAAAAAAAAAAAAAACATTCTGCATGTTTTAAAAGCATTCTCGTCTGTTGCACTTAAGGTTTTTTTTAAAAAAACAACCAAATTTAATCATTTTCCTTAATTAGATTTAATAATGGTTTTTACATAAACTTTACTTTATATATATATGTGTGTGTGTGTGTGTGTGTGTATATATATATATATATATATATATATATATATATATATATATATATATATATATATATATATATATAAATTATATACACACACACACACACACACACACTGCTCTAAGTGGAGAAAAAAAAAGAAACGGAATGGTATTTGGTGAATTAAAAATATCATCCAGCCTAATCATTGTTATATACAGAATTTATAAAAAGGTGGCGGGGTGGTTTATACTTTCTAAAAAGGTGACCGGACAGCATTCCGTCTCACTTCGAGCATTGCGTGTGTGTGTGTGTGTGTATATATATATATATATATATATATATATATATATATATATATATATATATATATATATATATATATACACACACACAAACTAACTATTCAAGTCTAAATTTTGAACTAAGCAAAATTGACTAAGACCATTTATTTATCAACAAGAATACTAATGTTCACTATAAAACTTTCTTAAAAGAGTATAACCAGCTGATAATTATTTGTATACCTATGAAATACTCTAAAAATCACATAATGCAACCACCTTGGATGAACAGATAACTAAAACATTTAATAATAAAATAAAATAAACGACTCTGGATATTAGTACAGCAAACTCAAAATTATATCCAGATAATCAAAAATTATATTCATTACCAACAATAAAGCAGTGTGAAAAGAAGTAAAAAGAATATTAAAAGAATATGTATTAGATTATGAAAAATATATTGCACATGATAAATTATTGAGAATCGTACATTAGCAAATATAAGGATTCCAACGCTGTCCATTAAAGATATTAGTAAATGTTTATTTAATTTGAACATTAACAAAGCTCCAGGGGTTGATGGAGTTCACCCTTGATCACTAAAACCATGTCACTTAGAATTTTCCAAGCCACTTTTTATGATATTCTCTAACTCTTTACATGAAGGTGTTATCCCTGACGTTGTGGAGATTAGCCAACGTGACACCATTACATAAAAGTGGTAATCGTAGTAACCCAGCAAACTATTGTCCAGTTTCTTTGCCTTCAACTCCATGTAAAGTTTTAGAGCAAATCATAAAAGACACATTTATGAATCATCTCTACTTAAACAAACTCATAAACCAAACAACACAGATTCGTTTGCAATAAAGGTTGTGTTGCTAATTTATCGGAAACATTAGATAAAGTCACAACAACACTCTTGAAAAAACAGTGGGCTAATGTAGTTTTTTAGATTTTGCCAAGGCATTTGACCAAGTGTCAAATCTAAGACTTTCTCAAAAACTAAAAGCATATGGTATAAATTGAAAATTATAAAAGTAGATATTTTAAACTTTCTAGAAAATAACGCATTGTGCTTGGAACAACGTGTTGTGCTTGGAGAAAGCATTTCAAATTGGACCAATGTCAAGTGGTCCAAACACAAGAAAATGTGTTTGGACCACTGCTGTTTATTATATAAACCTCTGAAAAAATTTATATATAACCTACGTTAGACCTCATCTAGAGTTTGGTGTGAGTACATGTAATGGTTACTGAAAAAAAGACATAAAATGCATTGAATTTGTTTAACATAGGGACACTAAAGCCTCTAACTCGCTTAAAAAAGTTTGATTATAAAAAAAGATTAAAAACTCCTAATCTAACTACTTTGATAGCAGATATACTTTGACTAGCGCATGCAGATTGCATTCAACAGTACAAACTTAAGAATAAATTAGATCATGTTAACTGGTATACTGAACTAAAAGCAATAGTTTCTATTGCTCCATAACCAGGACATCAAAAAATTGAAAAAAACTGTGCACACCGACACAACTTTTTCATTAAGAGAGTTGCCAATCACTAGAATAATTTGGACGATTCAAAAGTGATTCAGAAGAGTGTTGGAAGTTTTAAGAAAAGTTTTGACCGAAAGAACAATCAAACTAAGATATAATAATTAACAATAACCAGCACTAAATAAAAAAATGTCATTTACAACTATTATTTAATTTTATTAATCAATTCCACCAATCATTTAAACAATATTGTTATTGATTTATGTAACTTAAAAAATTACACAAATTGATAACAATAAATATTTACACAAAAAACTTGCTAATCAAATACATAATCAGTCACCAATAATAACATCAATCATTTAAACAAATCAATAATAAAAATCATTAGGCTAACCACATTAAGCATCTAAACAAACTGGTAATAAATTATACAACCTATTACACAAATAATATTAATCAACTATATTACTTAATAAATTACAAAAAGTAACTTTAGTAGCAAATAATTGAGAAAATGCATGCTGGAGAATTAGCTTTTAGACAATTATTTTGACAACTTGTAAAGGTTTAATTTATTAATAGCAATTATATTTTGAATAAAAAAATTATTTTTCATATTGGAAACAAAATATAACTTAAACAATTATAGAAGATAAAAAAGGATTAGAGACATTGCTGAATCAACAAACATACAGGAGAAGCTGGCGTAGATGGCCAAGATGGACTCATACCAAAGTCAAAATCATCTTGAAAAGGCGACTGTGCAGAAGGAGAACAAGAAAGAACATTATTAGGTGTACCAGAGAGTCGTGCAGAGGAACCAATTCCTTGGCTGCTTGGTTTATCAACATTATATTCTAAAATAAATTAATACATTTTATGAAAATATGTTTACAAAGAATCTTAATAAAACTTTAAAATTGTGAAAGAAAAATATCTCTAAAAGATAATAATTAACACCTAAAACTTTTAAAGTTTTTGTAACTATTAAAAAATAAGTTTTTAAAACATTGTTTAAAAATAATCATTTTAAAAATGTATTTGTTAATTTTTAAATTGAAGTCTCAAAACAGGTTATATAGAAAAAGCTTATCTTTTGATTTTGATAATTTGAAGAGAAAATATAAAAAAAATTTACCTTGATTTGAATAACTAACTGGAGTAAAAATATCCAATTGTTTTTGAAGATTTCCTTTTAAAAGTGAAGAAATATTTGAATTAGAACCTTTGACAGATCCTAAATGGTTACTATCATTGTTATGTGGAAGAGGAGAGTAGGGTGGAGGTGGTATTCCACTTCTAGGTGTCCTTCTTCCTTGTTGACTCAATGGTGAAAGAGCAACTCCAGTATAATCTTTATTTGGAGACATAATTGCACTATAATCAGGTGAATGTAAGTTATGTGGAAAAGGAGAGGGCATTTGATCATTATTAACATGGAAATTTCTTATATTAAAGGGGAAGGTATTCATAGTGTTTGAATTAGGTGTTGGAAACGGAACTCTTCCTTTGGATGTTGACGCTGCAGCTTGTGCTCTAACTTCAGAAGCTGCAATAATAGCTGCATTTCTATGTCCATCACTATCTAAAGATAAAGTTATTTTTAAAATTAAAACAAATAAATAAAAAAAAAAACAAAAAAAAAAAAGCATAAATGGTGGCTCAAAATTTTTTATACAAAAAAAAAATTATTTACCTATATTTACAGACCCAGTTCTAGGTATACCTTCAGAACTAGTTCTCTGCATTCCTTCAGAGCCTGTTCTCTGCATACTGTCAACCTATAAGTAAATAGAAATGTAACTTTATAAAATTTTTATCATATGTAATGAGTTATTATCTTCATGTAACATAATTAATATATTTTACTTCAAAATGAAATATATTCAGATACATTTTTTCTCTCCTTTTTAATTTTATTTCAAAAAAAAAAAATTCAGTTATGTTAAACAATTTAATTTATGAGAATAAATTCTTCTGTTGTTAGGGGTAATGTTATGGAATTATAACTAATTGAATTTCAGAAAACAGGCTAGGTGTAGATTCAAATTTACAAATTAAGTCTTTTCAAAAAAAAAAAAAGTATTGAAACCAGGGCACCAAAATATAAAGGAAATAAAAACAACTTTTTTCAAAAAAATTCATCACAAATAAGACACCATACAGCTATGTAGAGCTGAGAAGAAAAAGTACTAAGAAAAAAAAAATATATTTTCATTTAGCCAATTCAAATGCTTATTTTGATGTGCTGATCAAGTTTTCCCTAAAAATATATTTATTTTGTAACTTTTTTATTTATTTTTATAAACCCCCACCACCACCACTGATGTTGAGAGGGTCACTACAGTTGAGGAGACTACTTTATTGTGGTTACAACCCTCTCCTAACTCTTCAACTCTAAAACATAAACCTTGAAAAACAAGGCTGCTGCATGAATAAACATGTTGAGTCCGGTAAAACCAGGGACATGGTAGAAATCGAACTTAAGTACATTCAAATATTGTAGTTTGATTAAATAACTTTAAAAGAAATATCCTTCAAATATTGTAGTTTGATTAAATAACTTTAAAAGAAATATCCAAAAAAAACATTTTTTAAATTTATAATTCTTTTATACATAAACCCACATTTGCTATACAATTAGCCTTAGAAACCATAGAGATACCAAAATATACAAACACATATACATACACACACAAACATTTCTGTGATTTTCCTGCAGCTATACTTGTTAAAAATATACTTTTAGTAACATTTAATATTAACATTTCTGAAAATGAAACATTTGGTAAAGAAAAAAAATTGGCATAAAAGAAATAACGATGTACCAAATTTGATGTTATATCTGCTCTAGTAGAATTTGTTAATTTTCGATTTGGCAAAGAATTTTGAGACTGTTTTAAATCATTATCTGAGTTATTATTTGTTTGATCAGTATCAGCTGATAAAGGAAACTGACATGTATCTCTAGTTGAGTGAGCAAGTTGTTGTGCAGATACTTGTTGTTCATGAACTTGTCTTTGATAAACATCATATCTTTGATGTTGAATCATTTGAGCCATCTGTTGTGGACTAAAACCACCACCATATGGATTTGTAGGTGATATAAAATCCTGGCAAGAATAAAAAATCAAATACAAAGTGAATACAACAAGTTTAAATAACTTAAAAACAAAATATATTTCCACACCACAAACTATTAATAATTCAACCGTAGAATTTTTGTGTAAGAACATGAGCCTTAATCATATCAGTTTATAAATTGTTTCATTGATTATTTGTCATTGATTATATCAGTAAATAGTGTGTCATACGCGTGTGAGTCATTATATCAGTAAACACAGTGTATCATATATACGCCTCAGTTATTATGTGTTTTATCATCAACGTATCCAGAAATTATTGGTAACACAAAAAAAATGTTTAACAGATGTCTGCGGAAATTTGTACTGGTGTAGAAGTTCATGAACCCTGCCAACGTTTTGAGGACATTTTTTTGTATATAGGCATTATACTCAATCACAATTTACGTAAATTAGGCCTGGATACGTCAATGGTTATACACAGACATTAAATGTACACTTATATCTTTTGCTTTATAAACAATATTTCTAAAATAAAAACTTTTAAAAATGTAAAATCAGGTAGCAAAAATTTTTAAAAATGTTATTATACTATTTGTTTTTTTTTTCCATTCTAATATGATGCTGATAAAGTCAATATCAATTATGCATTTTTTACATAAAGCTGCATAAAAGGAGTTTTAATACATTATTAAATAAATCACTCAAAATATTAGGTTTAAAAAATCTAACAAAAAAACTACCTAAAAACCTTCAAATTTCAGAATAATATAGAAAATCAATATTAAAAAAACATCTATTAAAAAAACAACAACAACAATAAAAAATTCATATTTTCAAACATTTAAAATCATTTTCTTAAGCATGAGTTGACAATTAATAAATTTCAAAAGTAAGTTTGGTGCTAATTTTTTATTTTTATAGCAATTATCATTATTGAATTTTTAAAGCTTAAGTTGTGTTCAACAGTTTAAAACTGAATTAAAATGGGTGAGTATTGCTTCAAAAAGTTTTTTATTAAATTTTTCTTTAAATCTATTTAAAAAATGTCATCAATTTTATCCTTTTTTTTATATTAGATATCAAAAAACAATCAATATTTTATACTAACATGAGTTTGTCCTGAATAAACATTAGCAATAAATAGCAATTGTTATAAGCAATAATGTTCCAAATAGTTAACTGGCATTACATAAGTAATGTGCAACTTATCAGCATATTTTTATTACAAAATATTTATTATTGAATTTTATTTGAAAATTTTTTATAAACTTATTTTTCTTATAAATTCTTTCTCACTTACTAAAAGTTATTAAGTTTGTGTTGCTTCTTGATTTTTACCAGCCAATAGATTGATTAAATTTTAATTATATAAAATAAAAAATTTTATTGTTCAGCACACCTTTAAAGTTTGCCATTTAAACTAATTTCATCTTATAATAAAATTTTATCATATTAATTTTATTAATTATTGTTAACATTTAAATACAAAAAGCGTATTACTTTATGAAAATCTAAGCGAATGATAACTATTCTAAAGTTCCTATATACTAACTAGTGGCAACTATAGGTGCGTGTAGCGATGGTAATTGGGATATATGTATGCACATGAGATTATGATACATACACATATTCATTAATGTTTTCAAAATATATTATTCATATATATGTATAAGTTATATACATGAATGTGATTATCAATCAAAATGCATGCTTGCTTGTGACAAAGCTGCAAGCAACCAGTATTTAAGTTGGGGGTAGCTAAAAGGGTTAGAGGGCGAGGCGGCAGCTAGCAGAGTATTCAAATAGAAATTATAAAATGCTTTTGAAAAGCAGAATAAATTCCAAAGCATCGAGGGAAAAACTACACAATAAAGGTCTTTAAGCTTAAACAGTTATAGCATAAAGCAAAGTAATGCAACTTTGATGAATAAGAAAAAAGAGATGGAAACTCACCTAGACAACATGGTGATATTGTAGAATTATTTTTTACAAATGCTACCATGGTAAAATTTGTAGAAAAAAGAAAAAGAGAAACAACATTACAACATTGGGGCAAAAGTAAAAGTAGCAATTTTAGCAGATGTTGACTATGGATTGGATTTTTCATGGATTATGGTTTTTCCATGAGAGATCAACAGTAAAATATAAAAGACATAAAGTAAAAGACTCTTGCTAATGTTAATGATTTTAAGAGCAATACCTTATATTCTATATGCAGTAATACACTATATTGGCTTAATAAGGGTTTAGCTAAATAAGAGATTGTGCATAAATTACATAACACTAAATTTATTTAAAAAAATAGAAGTAAAAAATAATTTGCTCTTAATTCAACTTGAGGCGCTAATTTAATTTTTGGTGTAATCAAAGGCTCTGAATCTTGATTATTTAGTTTATTAAATAAACTTAGTGCTGAAAAATTTATCCCTAACATAATAAGCAGCTTATTATATACTATTTATACAGAATAGTATATACTATGATATACTTATATTATATATACTATGTGATAGTGTATGTGACAGAAGATACAGTATAGTTTATCAACTGTTACTAATGGAGTAAGAACAATACAATGTTAAAATAATTGTCTATATTAAAATATACTAAATTACTGTGTGTGCACATCTGCATGTGTAAAAAAAGGTGACCCATTAAGTACATTAACAAAACTTGAGTATTTAAAATTAAAATGTATAATTTACTACTTGATCAACTCTTTTTTATACTAAAAGCAAAATGCTAATAAAATTATTTCTTTTTAAGCCTGCATAACTTTAGAGAAACGACTAAATGTCTTTAATCACAAACTCTGGTTATAGACATTGTCTAGTACTATCAAAAATTTCAATCATTTAAAAGAAGTGGACCCATTAATTGATATTTGTTTAATTTATATTTATCAGGGCAAAATCAATATATCTTTAGATAAATATTATGCATATAGACACCAAAAACACTAAGTTTCTATTATAGTTTTATTTCTCTATGCTTTAATAAACTTTATTACTAATAAACATTGAAAAACCTAACACAACTTACATTATCTGATCCAGGTCCTAACATTCTTTGTCTTTGAAAAGCTGAACCAGGATTAATCATTCCAGTCATTTCATTAAACCTTCCTTTTCCAGGATACATATTTTGTGAGAAAAGTTCCATACCTTGTACCATACCATTCTGAGTTTCATAATTAGAATGATTACGTGGATCAAACCCAATAACTCTTGGGTCCATATAATTATTACCAGCTGTATAATTAACTGATGATTGCGACATGTTGCTTTGAGTACTTTCAAAAGAGTCGTTTTCATTTTGAGAATAACGAGGCATACCATTTTGATTTCTATAAGGTGTTGAAGTAGAACTTGAGCCATTGTAGGTGCCTTGCTGGTTTCCATGAAAAGCAGATCCAGTAGGAAAACCATTTATATTATTCTGAGGTTGTTGCTCATAAAACTGTTGCATCATATTATGCTGATTCATTATATAATTATAACTTTCATTATTTCACAAGTGTATAAAAAACCCTGAATTTAATCGATATTAGTTAATTAGAACTTAATTCCAATGCTTTCCTAGTAGTTAATATAGAAATATAATTCTAAAATAGGCATTGATATTAGTTATATCCATTTAAAAATTAACAGACGGAAATAATGCCATCATCCAAAAATTATAATTTAGGTTTGTTCATTTAAATTGGTAAATTTATATAAATATATATAAATATAGAGAAAGATTTGTAGGTGAGTTCAACTAATTTCATTCGATATACTTTATAAAATCCTCAATGGAAATTCAAAATGGAAACTTTTCTTCAAGCTACATAACGCAAAACTAATTTACTCGATCCCAGTACTTCTTGCACAGAACGATTCTAACACAGAGAATTGGCGGGGTGGGTATTACAAGGGAAACTGAATTTAATTAGAATTTTAGTTAGTTTATAAACAACTATAAAATTTAAGAATGTACTAAAAGGTAAAAAAAGAAAAAACTAAATTTAAAAGGTAGAAAAAAGGAACGTTTATATGTTAAAAATGGATCTACCATTTATATTAGTAAATATAACATTTATTGCTCATTTAAACAAACCCCCGTCTATACACAATGCAAATGGAACTGCCAATCATTTAAGTTAATATATGCAGTCCAAAAAAAATATGTTTTTTTAAAAAAAAAGAAAAAAAGATCATAATAGTTTTATAAAGTAGAAAAAATTATACATTTATTTTTTTTTCCTTTACGATTTAGATTTTGCTATAATTTATTAAATTTCAAATTTAAACAAAGAGCAAAAATACTTTTTTAACAGTAGTTAAAAAAGTTATATTTAAAATATCACAGATTTTTAAAACTATATCGGAAAAATTCTATCAATTAAAATTTTTAAACTTGAACAGCCAAGTTGCGTCATTGCCAAAGAATAAGTGGCGTTAAAAAAAACTGAAAGTTCACGTCTAGATACGTCTATGCTTATCAGCAGGTACTTAATTACCATTAGCATTCTAGGAATTCTAAAATATTTTTCATTCATTTTCTACCGTAAAACTAATCTTTACTTGACAAATGCGACCAAAATAAAGAATTGAATAACTTTTTTTAGATATTATGGGAAAGTCAGGAAAACGTATTAATTTTAAAAGTTCGAAAAGAACAAATATTTGAAACCCCCGTGATATATCTTAAACATTTAAAATCGCCAAGTTTATTAACAATACATGGTTAAAAAATCTGCCTCGGTATCATTTAAACAGCGTTTTTTCTAAAAAATTTTACTCTAAATTTTTCTTCATTTTATATATAAAGGTTTCCAGTATTTTCAATCGCCAATCAATAAATAAATCTCTTTTGTAATCAAACTATTTTGATGCTAAAAAAACTTTTGATACCAAAAAAACAGATGGAACAGTTTTGTCTTGTTTGGTTCAAATCTGCACCTTCAATATATTGTTCTTTGTTTTGGTGTATAGTGATGACTTACATGTTTCATTGAGAAAGAGTTAAGAAAAGGCAACACATTTCTGTTATAATCAAATATTGTAAAATCGCATTACTATAGGTATGTGGAAAAAGCTAAACTATCTGGCTTTAATAAAATGGCCTTCGCATCCATTATGAACTTATTTCAGTCATTATTTACTTACTCGTAATAAGACTTAAAAATAAATTTTGCTGATGCATTTTAAAAACTTTTCCAATATCAAAGCAAAAATTTGATTGCAAGAAATTATTATTATTGTCCATAATTTCTATAAAATGTTTTGAGCCATTGCATGTGTCTTGCTGGTTTCCATGAAAAGCAGATCCACAACTGCTGCCTTTGTAACCAGGATACCATTAAAAAATATTATACTGGTTATAAAGACAGCAGTTACAATAGAAGGATATATTAGTTACTATCAGCGGCGGTGAAACAATTTTTTATAGTATGTGTGTTGGGGGGGGGGGATTAACCAACCCATTTAAAATGAGGCTTATTGCCTATCCTTTCATTTACAAGAAACTCCGGAGGCAAGTCGCATCCAATTTTAAAATAAATTGATTCTAGTTTTAGTTTCACATATAATATTTAGATTTAAAACAAACCTCCTCATTTATTTCCAATATCATTATATACATCTTATCTTTTAAATGTTAAACTGTAGTCCAATGATGAGTTTTTAAATGTTAAACTGTAGTCCAATGATGAGTTTTTAAAAGTTAAACTGTAGTCCAATGATGAGTTTTTAAAAGTTAAATTGTAGTCCAATGATGAGTTTTTAAAAGCCGAAGTGCAAAAAAACTCTTTTCTGCATTTGACATTGTTATAGTTAAACATATTTTAAACAACTTAAGAAGTATGCTATTCTTTTTTTTAAAAACCTCAATAACTGTCGATACTTTAGTCGTCAAGTCCTTTAGGTTGTAAATTTTTGATACACTTGATATTATTTTCTATTGAGAATCTAAAAGATGAAATGTTATATCATCACTATAAAGTTTTTTTTATAGTGTTCAGAATAATGGCGCATCTATTGAAAGCTCCAATGAGGACCCTCTTAATATCTTTTATCCACAAAGTTTACTCATCTAACCATTTTGATATTTTAAAAAGTAAGAGGTCTATAACAGTAAAAAATTGGGTCCATAAATATTCTTCTGGAGAAGTCCATATGTGTGGCGGTACACCACAATCCTGTTTTGCAGAAAGTTTGCATTAAAGAAAGCTCTGAATTTCCAACAAAATCTGACTTAGTTACATCAGATAATACATATGAAAAAAGTAATTTCAACGTTTCTTCATAATGAAGAGTTTCCAAGTATTTGCATAATGTTTTCGTACTGTTGCATTACATTTGGTATTTTTGTTTGAAGAGCTATAGCGACATTTTCAACCAAGACAAACACATATTGTACTACATTTAACCTGAGAAATTTGACTAAAAGCTTCATTTGAGCAAGTATATTTGGTACGGTTTTGCAACATTTAGTACGCGCAGTCCAAAGTGTAGGACATATTGTTTTTGCAAGAAAAGCGAATTGATTATTCGTTTTTTAGACTGCGATGAAAAATTAGATTTAAAAAAAATATCTTTTACAATTTTAGTTATGGTCTCTGCATCAGTCTTTTAACATTTATACATATATACGTTTATACCTGTGAATTTATACTTATGAAATCTTTATGTACTTCATATTGATCTGAATTTCATCTAATAGTTAACTGCTCAAGCACAAAAAATGGTTTCATCAACTGAAAAAAGATATATCGGAGCTCTTCAAATAAGGAAAATAAAACCAAAAGTATTCCTTTTATTTTGGCACAGATAAAGCCATTATCTTTAGGTACACCAGTCTTGATTGAAATACCTCACGCGACCTCCGTTTATATGTGTAGTATCTTTTTTGCTTATCTGCATTCTTTAATTATCGTTTACTGCTTTGTTAATATTATAACAGTTTGACATACATACATGCTGTGTTTTCTTCTTCTGATATCTTTAAAATACCTTTAGAATATATAATCGGATCTAATGCAACCGTCTTTGTCATTACATTTGTGTCATCATCCATACTTTTTTGCGTGTCACTTTTCATACATTTTTCTGAACTAACAGTTAAAAAATAGAAAATTATAGTTAATATTTTTTTTCCATACTTGCAATTGAGTCATTTATAATAGAATATGTTGTTTTTTTAAATTATTGATCTAGTAATGATTTAATGTACATATGATTGTTTCACCTTCAGAACTATAAAAGTTTTGCACCGTTTAACATTTGTTTTGCAGCTAATGTCGTTCCCAATAATATCATTAGATTCAAGATTTGACACAAAAACAAGTTCACTGATCACTGACACTCCTGCCGCATTCTGGACAGAACTAAATAGATAAATAAACTATTGAGATTTTTTCTTAATTTTTAATTTGTTTTCTACATTTAAATTATTAATCAAAAGTTCATATTCTTCTTTGAAAAAAAAACTTTTTAAATAAATAAAAACTTTAAAAAAAAAAAAAAATATATATATATATATATATATATATATATATATATATATATATATATATATATATATATATATATATATATATATATATATATATATATATATATATATATATATTATTTTACTAACTCAATTGTCCAACCGTTTAGGTTAGAAAATAAGTTTGACCGTTTATGTTATGAAATTCGTCCGATCATTTATATTAGGAAATAATTGAGAAAAAATAGAGAAAAGTAATATAATTCACAAAGATTTTGTAAAAAAACTTTTTGAATTATTAAACATAATAATTACTTTAAAAAAATCGAATACAAGGTTTCTGGAAATTTTCGCGCGGAATAGTACTTTGCACATGCGCCAAGTACTTTTCTTTGATGAAAATTTCGTCGGTATACAAGTCCAAAAACATTATTTTGAGATAATGAACAAATTAGTTTTTGCGTAATAGTTTAAATAATAGGTTTTTGTGTAATAATTAAATTTAAAAAATCTTGATAACTCATTAATAATTAATTTATTAAATATGTGTCGTATACCCAACGATAGAGAATTTAAAATACTAAATAGTAGTATAAATAACTTCATACCGCCAAAAATGGACTTAATGCATTTCCCTTGTACACCGACGATCCGTTCTATAGCGGAATATTTTTATTAACGTATGATTTTATTTAACGTATGATATTGGGGACAAAAAAAATATTTAAAATAAAGCTAAAAGCTAAAAATTTAGTTGTTTATAAATAGTGAGGTAAGAGGGGCATACCCCTAAGCGGGAAGAGGCATACCCCTTTCCGCTATTGGCGCTACTGGTTACTTCTGCATTAGTTGAAATCTATACCTCAAGATATACTACCTAAAAATATATCAAGAAAGAAGCATAAAAAAAAGGACTATATTTGTTATAAATACACCAACAGTGAGTACATTAAAAATAGCATTGCAATAATTTACTTCTCGCAAATAGCAAAGAGCAAAAAAAAAAATTTAACATGCGCCTTTTTTTCGCATACTTGGAGCTTATAAGACGTTTTTTTACCCCGTTCATATATTTTAAAAGAAAAAGCCTGAAATTAACACCTTCCTACTTTGAGAAAGAAAGTTGTGTCTTTACTGCTTTAGATGCGTAGATTTACATAATTGATTAGATAAACACTTAACATAAGTATCTTTAACATAGTAGGCAACCTTGTTACATTCCTCGCGGCGTTTTTCGAAATTTAAGGCTATAATAAAATTTCAACATTTCATTAAAACTATATTTATTTACAAAGCAAAGAAGGTCAAAGGATCTTTTTGTCAGAACCTTAAATAAGTTCAAACAAGCATTTAACAAAGCTAACAACA